TCTCTCCTTTCTGAGCATTAACCATTTCCATACCGGGCACTTTTACCCACCTTCCCTCCCAGGCCATTTTTCAGGTTTCAGCGCTCTCACACTTTGAATGACAATTGCGCGGTCATCCAACATTGTACCCAAACTAAAATTTTATAATTTTCTTCACACAACTAGAGCTTTCTATTTGGTATTTAATCACTGCTGGGGTTTTTATTTTTTGCTAAATTAACAAAAAAAAGACCGAAAATTTTGAAAAAAAAAACATTTTTTTCTTTGTTTCTGTTATAAAAGTTTACAAATAAATAATTGTTCTTCATAAATTTAGGCGAGAGATGTATTCTGCTACATGTCTTTGGTGAAATTAACCCAAATTAGGATGTATTTTTTAGTTTGTAGGAAAGTTATAGAGTTCACAAACTATGGTATAGATCTGAATATTGATCAATCCTGAAGTACTGACGGCCAATCTAATCTCTTGAGGTCCAAGAATGTCAGAACAGTACAGATATCCCCCAAATGACCCTTTTTTGCAGAGTAGACAGTCCGACGTACTTCATAAGAGGCATGGCGAGTTTTTTTGAAGTTGTATTTTTTTTGTCATAATTTTTCGGAAAATTAAAAAAACTTAAAAAAATTATTTTCACTATTTGTTTTTTTTACATACTGTCACCAGTGCAGTACAGCGTCATCATATAACTAGCATGGCGGTGATCAGGGACACTGACTGGTGACAGTGTGAAAAAAAAAATAGTTTTTTTATATTATTTTTAATTTTTTATTACATTTTTTTTTTTTTTTTTAAGATTTCTTTTTTTATATTTCACTATGACCAAAGTAGTACAATGTTATCATAGGAACATTGTACTACTTTGGGGAAGTGATCAGTATTTTTTTTTTTTTTTTTTTTTTTTACACAATTTGCTTATAGCAAAGAATTACTTTGCTATAAGCAAGCATTTACCTGAATGACATCGATTCATTCAGGTTTTTTTTTTGTGCTGAGCTGTGATTTGGCCACAGCTAATCACATGACATGTGCATGCGACCTGCTGTGACCATTCACAGCTAGACACTAGTATACAATGGATGGCATGAATGAAGCCATCCATTGTATACAACTGTCATGTGACCTGCTGTGATTGGTCACAGCACGTCACATGGTACCGGTAACGGGGCCGATACTCAGACCTGTCATCGGCTGTGTCCGAGGTACACGGCCGGTGGCAGATCCCGCCGCTCTGCAGGTGCGCAATCTGCGCATGTGCGGGGAGGACGCCATATGGCGTCCACCGGACAAACGCTGATGACATTTTTTCCGCCAGCCATTTGGCCATAGAGCGGGCATTTGTTTCAAATGGTTAATATCGGTCATAGTGGGCACTTTGGCAATTGCAGCTCGTTCGCGAATGGAGTTTCCTTCGCACAGTTTTTGTGGACATGCGCTTTGGAAGACTGAGATTGAGCTCTGTAGTCCCTTTTGCAGCAGATGTTTTCTTATTCCGAGTCCCAATCCTGCACAATGTCCTTTTGTTTTTCTCAGTCAGTTGACCACGCGTAAAGACGTTCGGACGTTAGGAACAATGTGAAGCTCGATTCACTGGACCAGATTTCAGTCTTCCATTGATCAATGTTCCACGATTTATTGGTGTTGCAGCCCCCTCTCTCCTCTTCTGAGCATTAATATCGGTCACAAGTGGTTTGGCAATTGCAGCTCGCACACGAATGGAGTTTCCTTCGCACAGTTTTTTTTGTGGACATGCGCTCTGGAAGACTGAGATTGAGCTCTGTAGTCCCTTTTGCAGCAGCTGTTTTCTTATTCCGAGTCCCAATCCTGCACAATGTCCTTTTGTTTTTCTCGGTCAGTTGACCACGCTGACCATGCTTATGCTTCTCAGTCGTCGTTTTCCTGAAAACTGTATACGTCGTCATAAGCGTTGATCCTGTACCTCGTGACACCATAAATAAAATTTGCAACTTCAGTCACAGAGCCACCAGCTAAGTGGGCACCAACAATTTGCCCTTTTTGAGGCTCAGTAAGCTCTGACATGACTCCGTATTACTAGCAGCGCACGCAGTAAATGACAAAAGTGAGGCTTTGCACCTGTTAGCTAGGTGTCTCATCACACAGCGGAAGCAACAGAATGTTAGACCATTTCTGCAGGAAACGCATCACTTTCACACCTGTAGATTTCCATATTTTTTTTCTTTTAGCAAAAGTGGAGTATTCTTTTAAACGGAAAGAATTTGTCAGGGCTCAATATTCGCTACGGCTAATAAAAATCCGAAAGCGTAGCTCCTTCTATAACCCGAGTCTGTTAACAATATTGCTATTTTACTGCATATGCAATCACCTAGCCGTGGAGCGGAGGCTCACAGCGCCGTGCTGCGCTCAGCATTTTCTTCAGAGACCACTGCGTTCAATAGAAAGGACGGGACATAAATTTAACTGGGCACAGATTATAACAAACTAGCCAGTATGCAGCGGATACTTCGGCTGTCATCAGCAGCGCTTTACCACGCGGCGTGACTGGGGGATTCACCTCCAGCGGGTCTTATAAGGACAGCAGGAAAAATGAGTAAAATTACTTTGAGAATGGACAAGACGTTCAGATGCCGGGAGCTCAAACTACGCATACGATAAAAGGGCAATAATTAGTAGTAATTACTCATCTTCAACTAGACTGGTTTTGGTATCTGTCAAATTCAGGTACCCCCTCCCCAAAGGTGCCAATCCTTAATGGGGAGCGGGGGACAAAGGCTTAAAGCGGAACTTCCCCTTTTGGGTGGAGCTCCGCTTTAACCACTTGCCATCCGGCTGCTGTATATAAACGGCGGGACGGTGGCAGTCCAGGGGCGGGTTGCCGTTCATAAACGGCGCCCGCCATTATGGACCGAGTGCGCTCCCTGGGAGCGCGCACCACAGCGATCCGGTGCCCACTGTGTCCAGAGGACACAGTGGAACACCGATCATCGTACAGGACCTCTGTGCGAGGTCCCGATCATGTGATCACTGATTGGCCAATCAGTGATCACATGCAGAGTAGTAAGCAAGAAGTCACTTCTGACATCATTGCTTACTACGTGTGAAATCTGTGAATGATCACAGAGGTCACATGGTACAGGGCTATTCACAACAGCCTTGTACCATGTGACAAGCTGTGACCAATCACAGCTCACACAGTATTTCTCAATGGCTGCAAGAATGCAGCCAGAGAGAAGGAGAAATGATTGCTTTTACAACCTTTATGGGTGTAAAAGCAATCAGTGTAAAAAAAAAATCTTCATCACCCCCCACAAGTCGTACAGTGTCACCATGGTGACACTGTACTGCTGGGGTGACAGTATGTAAAAAAAAAACCATAAATAATAATATAACAATGTAAAAAAAAAATCATTTAAAAATTATAATTTTTGGTTATAAACTAATTTGGGTTATTATTTTTTTTTTACTGAAAAGATAACTGAATAAATTTTGGCCAAGATTTATGATGAAATATTATTTATTTGCAAAATGTTAGAAGAAAAACACTTTTTTTCAAAATTTTTGGACTTTTTCATTTATATGGAAAAAAAAATTAAAATCCCAGGGGTGAATAAATACCACCAAAATAAATCTTTATTTGTCTCAAAAAAAATGCTAAAAAATTAATATGGGTACAGTGTTGCATGACCCGCGCAATTGTCATTCAAAGTGTGATAGCACTGAAAGCTGAAACTTGGCCTGGACAGGAAGGGGGTGAAAGTGTCCGGACTGGAAGTGGTTAAGTATAACAAAAGACAAAACTTTTTTTTTTAGTTTTGGATACAGTAGAGAGGGATTGGAATACGTTCAGTTTTTTATTGCTGTCTGTGCCCCTGTTATGGAGATCCACCCTCTCTATTTATCCCATTTACCATTCATCCTTGAAAGTGAAAAAAAATGCCAAAATGCCATATTTTGGCCTGTTCCCAGAAAAGTTATAGAGGGGAAATCTTCCAATGGGGACACTAGTTCTGGTTACCTGGGGGTCCCCAAGAAAGTACCTTAATTTGCAGGGTTTTCCTCTCACTTCCTGTTTGGCTATGGAACAGGAAGTGAAGGAAAATCTCCACAATGGGACACAGATGAGGAAAAAAAAATCTGACAGGGGTTATAACCCTCACTTGATCTATCCAAAATGAAAAAAAAATGGTTTGCCTATAGCTTTACGTTAACATCTTTGTCATAAAGACTTGATTTACACCTTGAGCCCTGGTTCACACTGATGCAGCGTTTTCTATGCGAATTCTGCACCGCATCAGAATCGCACCCCATTCATGCGAACCGCTGCAGGTGTGTATGTTAACAAAAACCCCAAAAGCGGTCCGCAAAATGCGGTGCGGTGTGCAGAACCGGATCGCATAGGTGTGAATACCCATGCGATCCGATTCTAGTGCAGACCCAAAAAAAAGGGTCCTGCACCTTTCTGGTGCGGGTGTGGTGCGATTAGAGCCATACAAAATGTATGACTCCGTTCGCACCGCGCACACAAATCGCATGTGATTGGCACAGGAATGCGATGCGGTTTCTGTGTGAATCACATGCGATATACTGCACCGCACATATGTGAACACGGGCTCAGACATGAGATTCAAACAATTAACATATATTCCAATTTCTTGACACTATGAGGTCTATTTCGAAAACAAGCAGCTGTTCCCATGTCTCAAGCATTCACACAGCCATCACCAATAATCCCCGTTATTTGCCCAACACGTCTATTTCCTACGATCACCAACTCCATCTAGTAGCCATATTGTGGTATTTTCCTGATCAAGGTATTTTAGGAAATGACCACATTTTCAAGATGTTTAACCACTTCCAGTCCGGACACTTTCCTCCCTTCCAGTCCGGACACTTTCACCCCCTTCCTGTCCAGGCCAATTTTCAGCTTTCAGCGCTATCACACTTTGAATGACAATTGCGCGCAGTCATGCAACACTGTACCCATATGAAGATTTTAGCATTTTTTTGAGACAGATAACGCTTTATTTTGGTGGCATTTATTCACCACTGGATTTTTATTTTTTTTTGCTATATAAATGAAAAAGTCCAAACATTTTGAAAAAAAGTGTTTTTCTTAAAAAATTTTGCAAATAAATAATACTTCCTCATAAATCTTGGCCAAATTTATTCCGTTATCTTTTTAGTAAAAATGAAAAATAACCCAAATTAGTTTATAACCAAAAATTATAATTTAAAATAAAGTTTTACATTTTTATATTATTTATTTATGTTTTTGTTTTTTACATACTGTCATCCTAGCAGTACAGTGTCACCATAGTGACACTGTACTACTTGTGGGGGGTGATGAAGATTTTTTTTTTCACACTGATTGCTTTTATACCCATAAAGGCTGTAAAAGCAATCGTTTCTCCTTCTCTCTGGCTGCATTCTTGCAGCCATTGAGAAATACTGTGTGAGCTGTGATTGGTCACAGCTTGTCACATGGTACAAGGCTGTTGTGAATAGCCCTGTACCATGTGACCTCTGTGATCATTCACAGATTTCACACGTAGTAAGCAATAATGTCACAAGTGACATCTTGCTTACTACTCTGCATGTGATCACTGATTGGCCAATCAGTGATCACATGATTGAGACCTCGCACAGAGGTCCTGTACGATGATCGGTGTTCCACTGTGTCTGGAGGACACAGCGGGCACCAGATTGCGGTGCTGCGCGCTCTTAGGGAGCGCGCACAAGCAGGGTGCGGGGAGGTCGTTTATAAACAGCAACCCACCCCTGCACTGCCACTGTCCGGCCGTTTATATACAACGGACAGACGGGAAGTGGTTAAGATTCTATGTTAAACCAAACAATTTGGGCCAAATTGGACAGTATGCTGCTGCAGGCAAACGCTACGATGCTTCAACCAAAAGGCCTGCAAAAGAAAGAAGAACATTTATGCAGGCCATACATGGTTCAAATTTCGAACGACTTTTCGTCCGAAAATCAGAAACGCTGTTCGCACGGTAATCCGATGGTGCCATCATTGATTTTGAAAATCGGCCGACCAAGTCATAAAGTTCACCCCATATAACAGACAAAACGTCTGTTTCTTCCAGGTCACAGCTCACGCACATATTCTTTTCGGAAAAACGATCGTACGATTTGACCATCGAGTCGAAAATCGGTAGTTTTTTCACATATTTTCCAACATGCCTGATCACCGAAAAGGGGAGGAGCCACAAAAATCGGCCGGTGCCATTGATCCCACTAACAGAGCAAAAATCGGCCGATTATTCTCAGGTCTGATTTTCGGAAGAAAAATCAGTCGAATTTCGACCCATGTGTGGCCGGGCCCTACCCAGAAGTCCTTCCACTTCTGGGTTTGTTTGTATACATCTCTCAGGTGGGGTTGGCCAAGGATTCTCTAAATGTCGGAAATACAATTATATACCCCGTTTTTTTTATACATACAGCAGCTGAGAATGACCATTTATAGAGATGGATCCGCCGTAAATAGCTGAAATGTCTAATACTGCTTAGACAACACTAATGGGATTTATAGCCAGGAACAGATGTCTGATGAGCAGAAGGCCCTGCTGTGCGCCCAAATGTGTGCCACTCGCCTCCCGCCGACCCAAGGCACCTGCAGGGAACGAATGTCACGCAGTACAATTCAGGACAGCTGATCGGCAGCTCTGATTTACCAACATTCTGTGCGAAAGGCTGAGAGGGCGGCTGTAAGTCCTCATGTACGCGGGGCGTTCTTACAGCGGATGTTTTTGACTTTTAACGTTTTTTTCTACAGCCAGTAAACCCCCCAGCATGTTTTCCTATGTGTCCATCCCCGGCATGTTCTCCATGTGTCCATCCCCGGCATGTTCTCCTATGTGTCCATCCCGGCATGTTCTCCTATGTGTCCATCCCCGGCATGTTCTCCTATGTGTCCATCCCCGGCATGTTCTTCTATGTTCCATCCCAGCATGTTCTCCCATCCATCCCGGCATGTTATCCCATGTGTCCATCCCCGGCATGTTCTCCTATGTGTCCATCCCCGGCATGTTCTCCTATGTGTCCATCCCCGGCATGTTCTCCTATGTGTCCATCCCCGGCATGTTCTCCTATGTGTCCATCCCCGGCATGTTCTCCTATGTGTCCATACACACTCTAGACTGGAATCAACGTTTTTTTGGCTAAAACGCAAAAAATTTATTACAGGACTAGTTTTTTTTAGCTGTAAAAATTCTAATGCTGAAAAAACGCAGTAAATCACGGTAAAACGCAGCAAACCAGCATGTTTATTAGTCCATCCCCGGCTGTTTTTATGCTTTTGAAGTTTTTTGACATTTTTTTATGCAGCCAGTAAACCCCCCCAGGCATGTTCTTCTATGTGTCCATCCCCGGCATGTTCTTCTATGTGTCCATCCCTGGCATGTTTCCTGTGTGTCCATCCCCGGCATGTTCTCCTATGTGTCCATCCCCGGCATGTTCTCCTATGTGTCCATCCCCGGCATGTTTTCCTATGTGTCCATCCCGGCATGTTCTTCTATGTGTCCATCCCCGGCATGTTCTCCTATGTGTCCATCCCCGGCATGTTATCCTATGTGTCCCACCCCGGCATGTTCTCCTATGTGTCCATCCCCTGGCATGTTCTTCTATGTGTCCATCCCGGCATGTTCTCCTATGTGTCCATCCCGGCATGTTCTCCTATGTGTCCATCCCCGGCATGTTATCCTGTGTGTCCATCCCCGGCATGTTATCCTATGTGTCCATCCCCGGCATGTTCTCCTATGTGTCCATCCCTGGCATGTTATCCCATGAGTCCATGCATACGTAGACAGGAATCAACATTTTTTGGCAGGGACGTTTTTTGGCTAGGAAAAAAACCCCAGGACTAGTGGGTTTCTAGAGGAGTTTTTTAGCTGTAAAACCGGTCTAACTCGGTAAATCACTGTAAATTGTGTCAAACCGGCATTTTTGGACATTTTTTTTTAACCAAAAAATTTTTTTAAAAAATTTTGGTTAAAAAAAAACGCTAAAAATCGCAAACGCAAAAAAAAACGCACATTAAGTTACACGTTGTCACTTTTTAACGCCTTGTGACCTTTTCAAGTTAAAGAGCAACTGCGGGCGACAACTGGGGTTAAAATTTGAAAAAAATGAATTACTGCAATGGCCTGAAAATCAGAAGGTGCGCTCGATTCATCTAAGTCCTCATGCACACGGGAAGTTTTTACAACGGCTGATTTTGGCTTTTGATGGTTTTTTCTACAGCCAGTAACCCCCCGGCATGATATCCTTTCTGTCCATACACACAGAGACTGGAATCAATGTTTATTGGCTGGGGCATTTTTTGGTTGGAAAACCCAGGACTAGTGGGTTTCTAGACGAGTTTTTTAGCTGTAAAAACGCTCTAACGCTGAAAAACGCAAACACAGAAAAACGCCTCTAAATGCGGCAAAACGCCGCTAAACACTAATGCAAAAACGCTAAAAAAAAGCTGAAAACCGCACGTTTTTAACATGAGTTTACTGTGTAGTTAATGTTACCAGCGTTATCAAAACGTCAAGTGTGCATGATTAATGCAGGATATACATGGGTCGAATTCCAAACGACTTTTCGTCCGAAAATCGAAAACGTCGTTCGCTCGGTAATCCGATGAGTGCCATCAATGATTTTGAAAATCGGCCGACCAAGTCATAAAGTTCACCCCAGATAACAGGCAAAACTTCTGTTCCTTCCAGGTCACGGCTCATGAGCATATTCTTTTCGGAAAAACGATCGTACGATTTGACCATCATTGAGTCGAAAATCAGTAGTTTTTCAGGAATTTTCCAACATGCCCGATCACCGAAAAGGGGAGGAACCACAAAAATTGTCTGGTGCCATTGACCAACTAACAGAGCCGATTATTCTTAGGTCCGATTTTCAGACGAAAAATCGGTCGAATTTCGACCCATGTACAGCCGGCATTAGGCTCCATACACACGGGGTGTTCTAATAATGCTGGTAACATTAGCTGTGTAAAGTCATGTTAAAAACATGCGGTTTCCAGCTTTTTTGAGCGTTTTTGCATTAGCGCTTAGTGGTGTTTTCCCACGTTTGCGTTTTTTAGAGGTTTTTTTTTACCAAAAGAAAAAAAATTGGGGGGGGGGGGCAAAAAAAAATCCAAAAACACCTGTTTGTGTCGTTTTACCACGATTTACTGCGTTTTCAGCATGGCATACAGCATTATGTATGACGTGCGGTTTTCAAAATTTTTTAGCATTTTTGCATTAGCGCTTAGCGGTATTTTCCCACGTTTGCGTATTTAGATTTTTTTTTTTTTTTTACCAAACGAAAATTTGGGGGGGGTCAAAAAAACATCCAAAAACACCTGTTTGAGGTGTATTACCATGATTTACTACGTTTTTCAGCATTACATACAGCATTACGTATTACGTGCAGTTTCCAGCTTTTTTTTGTGTTTTTTTCATTAGCGCTTCGTGGCGTTTTCCCGTGATTGCGTTTTTTTAGAGGTTTTGTTTAACCAAAAGAAAAAAATTGGGCGGGGGGGATAAAAAAAAGCATCCAAAAACACCTGTTTGTGGCGTTTTTTTACCACGATTTACTGCGTTTTTTCAGCATTACATACAGCATTACCTATTATGTGCGGTTTTCATTATGGTTTTCAGCTTTTTTTTGCAGTAGCGTTTAGCGGCGTTTTCCCGCATTTGCGTTTTTTAGAGGTTTTGTTTTAAACCAAAAGAAAAAAAAATTTGGGGGGGTGAAAAAAACATCCAAAAACACCTGTTTGCAGCATTTTACCACAATTTACTGTGTTTTTCAGCATTACATATTACGTGCAGTTTCCAGCTTTTTTTAGCGTTTTTGCATTAGCGCTTAGCGGCATTTTTCCCTCGTTTGCGGTTTTTAGGTTTTTTTTGTACCAAAAGAAAATTTGAGGGGTCAAAAAAAATCCAAAAACACCTGTTTACGGCATTTTACCACGATTTACTGCGTTTTTCAGCATTACATACAGCATTACGTATTACGTGCGGTTTTCAGCTTTTTTTTTGCATTAGCGTTTAGCTGCGTTTTTTAGAGGTTTTTTTACCAAAAGAAAAAAATTTGGGGGGGGTCAAAAAAACATCCAAAAACACCTGTTTGCGGCGTTTTACCACGATTTGTTTACTGCATTTTTCAGCATTACAGCGCTTTTACAGCTAAAAATCTCCTGTAGAAACCCCTCTAGTTCTGGGTTTTTCCAAGCCAAAAAACGTTGATTCCAGTCTATGTGTGTATGGACACATAGGATAACATGCTGGGGGGTTTACTGGCTGTAGAACAAAACGTCAAAAACCGTCAAAAGCCAAAAACAGCCGCTGTAAAAAACATCCAGTGTGCATGAGGACTAATGCAGGCCATAGATGGGTCGAAAAAATCGGCCGATTTGTCGGCCGAAAATAAAATCGGCCGATTTCGGATCGTTAGTGGGCGATTTGGTCGGCCGTTTTTCGGTATTTTGGCCGTTTTTGTTTTTTTCGGTAAAATGGGGAAAAAAACGGCCGATTTTGCCGATCGGCCGATTTTCGCGGCAATTAGTGGGCAAATCGGCCGATTTTTTAACGATAAAAAATCTGCGCATGAGCAGTGACCTGCAAGAGGAAGACAAAAAGAAGAAGAGGAAGAGGATGAAGAAGAGGATGAAAGAAGAAGAAGAGGAAGAAGAAGAGGATGAGGATGAAGAAGAAGAAGAAGAGGATGAAGAAGAGGATGAGGATGAAGAAGAGGATGAAGAAGAAGAAGATGAGGATGAAGAAGAAGAGGAAGAAGAGGATGAGGAAGAAGAAGAGGATGAGGATGAGGATGATGAAGAAGAAGAGGATGAGGATGAAGAAGAAGATGAAGATGAAGAAGAGGATGAGGATGAAGATGAAGAAGAAGAAGAGGATGAAGAAGAAGAAGAGGAAAGAAGAAGAAGATGAGGATGAAGAAGAAAGAAGATGAGGATGAGGATGAGGATGAGGAAGAGGAAGAGGAAGCATAATGCAGGCCATAGATGGGGAGAAAAACTGCAGATTTTTCTTTTAAAAAACGAAAAATCGGGTTGTTCGAGTGGCCGACGTTACCAATCAATGGTAAAAAAAAAAATCGGCCGATTTTCTACCCGTCTAGAGCCGGCAAAACAAAAAGTGTCCCTGCAGAGAGCTCTGCTATTTCTTTGACAGTTCTCTTGACAGTTCCTTGACATTTATAGAAGTTGCAACAATGTATCTATTTGTTTCCATTTAGGATACAGATGTTTTTATTCGGAAACAAATAGATACAATGTTTCAATCGCTGTAAATGTCAAGGAAACTGTCAGAGAACTGTCAAAGAAATAGCAGAGCTCTCTGCAGGAACGAACTTTTTGCTGGGACTGGAATTCTTTTATTTTCATACTACTTCTTCTTTCTTCTATCTTCTTCCTTCATCCCATCCTTTTCTTCTTCATCCTCATCCTCTTCTTCTTCTTCAATCCTCTTCTTCTTCTTCTTCATCCTCATCCTCTTCATCTTCATCATCCTATCTCTTCTTCTTCATCATCCTCATCCTCTTCTTCTTCATCATCCTCATCCTCTTCTTCATCCTCATCCTCTTCTTCATCCTCTTCTTCTTCTTCATCCTCATCCTCTTCTTCTTCATCATCCTCATCCCTCTTCTTCTTATTCTTCTTCATCCTCATCCTCTTCTTCATCATCCTCATCCTCACTCTTCTTCTGCATCCTCATCCTATTCTTCTTCATCATCATCCTCATCCTCTTCTTCATCCTCATCCTCGTCTTCATCCTCATCCTCATCCTCTTCTTCTTCATCATCATCATCCTCATCCTCTTCTTCTTCTTCATCCTCATTCTTCATCTTCTTCATCCTCATCTTCTTCTTTTTCATCCTCATCTTCCTTCCTCATCCTCTTCTTCTTCCTCATCCTCTTCTTCTTCCTCATCCTCTTCTTCATCATCAATCCTCTACTTCATCCTCATCCTTCTTCTTCTTCTTCATCCTCATCCTCTTCTTCTTCTTCCTCATCCTCATCCTCTTCTTCTTCTTCATCCTCTTCTTCATCGTCTTCCTCTTCTTCTTGCAGGTCACTGCTCATGCGCAGATTTTTTATCGGTATTAAAAAATCGGAAACCGATTTGCCCCACTAATTGCCGCGAAAAAATCGGCCGATCGGCAAAATCGGCCCGATTTTTTTCCAACTTTACCGAAAAAAAAACGGCCAAAAATACGAAAAAAACGGCCGACCAAATCGCCCACTAACGATCCCGAAAATCGGCCGATTTTATTTTCGGCCGAAAAAAATCGGCCGATTTTCGACCCATCTGTGGCCTGCATAAATCTACCAGTACAGTGGGGCTAAAAAGTATTCAGTCAGCAACCAATTGTGAGCAAGTTCTCCCACTTACAAAGATGAGAGAGGCCTGTAATTGGCATCATAGATAGACCTCAACTATGGAGAGACAAAATGAGAAAACAAATCCAGACAATCACATTGGCTGATTTGGAAAGAATTTATTTGCTAAATTATGGTGGAAAATAAGTATTTGGTCACCTACAAACAAGCAAGATTTCTGGCTCTCACAGACCTGTACCTTCTTCTTTAAGAGGCTCCTCTGTCCAGCACTCGATTTTCCTGTATCAATGGCACCTGTTTGAACTTGTTATCAGTATAAAAGACACCTGACCACAACCTCAAACCAGTCACACTCCAAACCTCCACTATGGTGAAGACCAAAGAGCTGTCCAAGGACCACCAGAAACAAAACTGTAGACCTGCACCGAGGCTGGAAAGACTTAATCAGCAATAGGCAAAGCAGCTTGGTGTGAAAACAAATCAACTGTGGGAGCAATAATTAGAAAATGAGAAGACATACAAGACACTGATAATCTCCCTCGATCTGGGGCTTCCACGCAAGATCTCACACCCGTGGGGTCAAAATGATCACAAGAACGGTGAGCAAAAATCCAGAAACCACACGGGGGGACCTAGTGAATGACCTGCAGAGAGCTGGGACCAACGTAACAAAGGCTACCATCAGTAACACACTACAATCGCAGGGGGACTCAGATCCTGCAGTGCCAGACGTGTCCCCTGCTTAAGCCAGTAACATGTCCGGGCCCTCTGAAGTTTGCTAGAGAGCATTTGGATGATCCAGGAAGAGGATTGGGAGAACTGTCATATGGTCGTAAGATGAACCAAATAGAACTGTTTGGTAGAAACACAACTCGTCGTGTTTGGAGGAGAGAGGAATACTGAGTTGCATCCAAGAACATCCAATACCTACTGTGAAGCATGGCATGTGGTGGCAACATCTTTGCTTTGGGCAGTTTCTCCGCAACAGGACCGAGGACGACTGATCCATGTACAGGACAGAATGATATGGGGCCATGGATCGTGAGATTTTGAGTGCACAACCTCCTTCCATTCAGCAAGGGCATTGAAGATGAAAATGGTGGGTCCCTTCCAACATGACAATCATCGCCAAACATTACCGCCCGGGCAACGAAGGAGTGGCTTCCTAACGAAGCGTAATTATCAAGGTCCTGGAGTGGCCTATGACCAGTCTCCAGATCTCAACCCCATAGAAAACCTGAGTTGCGCATAGGGAGTTGAAAGTCCTGTTGCCCAGCCGACCCAGCCCCAAAACATCCACTAGCTCTAGAGGAGATCTGCATGCGAGGAATGGGGCCAACATACCAGCAACAGTGTGTGCCAACCTTGTGAAAGACTTCCAGGAAACGTCTGACCTCTGTCATTGCCCAACAAAGGATATAT